TTTATGTGTGATTTAAAGGACATATTCTGATCAAAGATGACTCCAAGGTTCCTCACAGTAGTACTGGAAGCGAGAGCTATGTCATCTAAAGTAACTATATGATTAGACAGCAGATTTCTAAGGTTTTCAGGCCCAAGTACAATAACTTCAGTTTTGTCAGAGTTTAGAAGTAAGAAATTACAGGTCATCCAGGCCCTTATGTCTTTAAGACATGCTTGAAGTTTGAATGCAGGCAAAGATGAGCTAACGTTAACTAAAAACCAAAGAGGAGGCCCTAGCACCACAGTGTCCTTCCTTCATTACCGTGGAGCCGTAGACCGGACCTTTCCAGTTCTGAACATTATAAAGCCAAGAAATTTGACCAAGTCATATCGTGGAAAACTTTGCATAGAGCAATGCCTGCAGAATGTCATGAGTAGCTTTCTAGCTGCTGATGCATTGCACAGTTTTGTGTGTGTGTTTACATTAGGTGCTGTTAAAAACTGTACAGACTCACTGAAGTGAAATGTAATTGTTGATGCACTCGCAGTGATATTTATTTCGCTTGTACAGCTACATGTATGTGTAACCTGCCGAGGCAGTGCTTCACTCTGCTGACTGCTAAATTGCCAACGCTGGTTTATGTCTTCATGTTCATGTTTATGGTAGTGTCACAGCCTTTCCCTTTATTGCAGGTTATTTTTGTTTGTGTGAGTCTTGTGTTATTTTCCTTTTTCTAGGGAGGCTGTAACAAGGAAGAGGACTGATTGCAAGTTACAATGTAGCAACACAGCTTTGTGTGTTTACATTAGGCAGTGTGCAAAAATGCACCTAATTTTGGTTTTGAATCAGCCTGTAATTTTGTTGGACTGCACTTGTTTTGTGCTAATTATATTGCTTACATTAATATATCATGTCTATGTTAATATTTGCTGCCATGTTGCATCTGCCACAGTGTTCATAGCCTTATCATCGATTGATATTTATTTTCGCTGGCTTGATTATGTGCTATTTTCTAATTGAGTGTAGTGATGCTATATGTAGGAAGATGGTTGGTAGTCTACTGCTTGCACAGGCAAATGTGTGCCCCTTTATAGGAACTGAATTATGGGCTGAGGGCTTGGTAGTATGGTCTACACCTGGGCCGGTTGTTCCAGTACTGAGGTGAAGTGTACTGTGCACTCCAACATACACTCAGCACAGAATATATAAGTCCCACCTTTTCAGCTGCTTTTGTTCTGTGTGAAGCTTTCAATGTGCCATTTTTTGTATTGCGTTTGGCAGATTAAGAGTTGTAAAAGATTAATAAAGGGCAAGAGATCAAATGTATAAAATGATACATAAATATAAAATGAATGAGAAGTATGAGCTGCAGTGGCAGAACGTAGCTAAGCATTGTGCTTAAGTTACAGTACATGTACTTTTACTCCTGTACAGATCAAAGGCAAGCATTTCATATTCTTTATTCCAGAACACTGATTATTGGTTACATTAAAGATTCTGATTAATTATATAAAATATAAGCAACAAATTAATTATATTGCATTGTTATAGGTTAAGATAAGACTTTACTTATTGGTCTGTGTGTGTGTGAGTGTTCACAATCTAGCAACACGTTATCAATATTAGCTTCTTCTCTACCAGATGCAACATTAAATTGATCTATTAATGCATTAATATTTCTAAACTAGTTATATAAATTGTTTAGAAATGGTCAATTTTGCATAATGAGTACTTTTACTTTTGGTGCTTTAAGTTTTTAGTATTTTGATACTAACAGGAATACTTGCCATATGTGCATAATATTTTGAATAGATCATTTTTCCTATAACAGAGTATTTCAACAAAATGTTTTTACGACTTAAAACATCTTAATAATTCTTCCACTGCTGATGAGCATAACTAGTGTAGAACTATTCATGTACTATATGCTTTTGCATCAATACAACTTGAGAATACAATATGAACGTTACAGTCACCTGTATGTTCTACTTGTTTTCTTGCTGCCATCTAGAGGTCAACTTCTGTATGACAAATACATTTTAATGCTCTGTTCCTTGAATCTTAAGTTCATTTAAAACATGTTTAACATGTTTGCTACATTGGGGTAATTGGTTTTAACAACTTACCAGATACAACTTCAATTTATATGGTCCCAATAATATTGCCACTATCCCCTGACGAAGTTGAAAAGTGTTCTTCTGAGTATTTTAAGGTCCATATTGCAGTTTTATGAATATTAGGCTAAAGGTTACTCAAACACAACAACAATACTTTAAACAACATTTTATTTTATTATTAATCAGATGATTATAGATATTTGAAGGTGATTTGGTTTCCAAGGGTGTGGATGCACCAGCTGTGATGCTGAAAGAAAGATTTGTTAGAGTGTAAAATATATTCACAATATATGCACAAAGATAGGTCTATCTACAAAGTTAACACTAGCAGATGCACCACAGCAATGTTAGCTGATGGAAAAACCCATGTGTAACATAAAGATTGATTTCGCAAACAGCAGAATTTTAATTGTTGATTTGCTGCACAGAAGTCAATCGGGTGTTTATGTTGGTAAAAGTAAAATCATGTTGTCTCTTTCTGTTATCACTGGGTTTCACTGGGATTTATCTTAGGGCCCGTTAATGTTGAGGTGCAACCACATTTTGGAATATACACAAATGAATTCATTGCTACTTATCCTTTGAGACAGACATTACAGTGTGACTGAACAAAGAACAGGTTATGCATAGCTGATGAAAACATGAATCCTCTGAGGCTATGCAGTTGGAGCCATATATCAGCTAGTAGGAAAATATCTGGCATCAATTGTTATTGTTTCTTGAACAGAAAGTGTATGACAGAGGAAGGGCTAAGAATGTCAGGACAACAAATGCAAAATAAAAGTTAAATGAAACATTTACAAACATTTTCATATGTGATTCTCTGGTTATAGTCAGTTGTGAGGCACTCATATTGGACAGGCAGCTTATTTACAAATAGCAGACCCACACACACAAAGGAATAAAAGAAATAACAGCCAATTTTCCAAAGAATATCAGGTGATGGAGAATTTCTATCCAACAGATCCCAACAACCAAAGCACCATTTCCCTCTATCTCTAATTTCTGCAGGCTTAGGGCACCAAAAAGTACTCAAAAACATACAATCACCAACGGTCATCAGCAATTTATAAAAATATCACTATGGTGACCCACAGATTCACAGATTTGACCATGGTAAAAAGGACATATTTACAGTAATCCACACAAAGGGAAAAATGAAAAAAAAAGGAAACAAAAACGAAAGAGAGCGAGAGAGAGGACAAAACAGCTGCAGAAAAAGAAGAGCAGTGCAGAGAGGGGTCCAAAAGGCAAAGCTTGAGCAGTTCTTAATCTTTTTCATTTGTCCTGTAAAGACCAGACAAACATTTCAGTTAAATGGGAATGATAATGACCGGGATCTGCTATATTTTGATTTGATTTTGATTTGATTTATTCTTTCAAACATGTAAAGACAGTCAATATGTCAACACACATAATTTCACACATATCCACAAATGCATTATCAATTTGCTTATACCTAGTACATGCTTGAATGGAGTAGGAAGAAGTTAGACTTATCCAGTCCTACCCCATGACATCATCTTACCATCATTGGTTTGCAAGCAGTATCTCTACATAAATAATTCTCTTCTACACCACACAAGTAATATACTAAAAAAATTATAACAGAGTGTTAACATTCTTACATAATTACATTCTTAAATAATTATCTTCTACACCACACAAGTAATATACTAAAGAATTATTACAAAGTGTTAACATTCATACACCACACCCACAATGTTCCATCAAATTTTAACAATTTTGACTGTATGAAAGCTAAATTGGTGTGATCCCTATACCCCATCTTATGCACAATTCTTATCGCTCTTTTTTGTAATATATACAATGGTTGAAGTGAGCTTTTGTATGTATTTCCCCAGTTTTCAACACCATACTCTAAGTATGGTAAAATCAATGAAGAATACAAAATGCATAGTGCTTTCCCGTCCAAAATATATCTAACCCTTGCCAATATTGATATGTTTTTTGCTATTTTGTGCTGAACATATCTGATATGAGATTTCCAGGAGAATTTGTCATCAACTATGACACCTAGAAATTTAATTTCATGTACTCGTTCTATATTAGCTATATTAGCTATATTACCACAAATACAAATTTGTTTCTATTTTTAATGATGTCTTTCTAATTTGACATACACACAAAAAGAACTGTGTGAGTTTAGATGAGAAAATGTACTTTATAGTAGATCTATTTGCAATCTATAGTGTTTTATTACATTTGAAATAAGAACATAAAACAGTTCACTTTGAACATGGCAAAAACAAAAACAATGGCATTATGAGAAGAGTTACTACAGGATATGCTGGTACTTTACTTTAGGGTGGATGTTTATTAACCATCATTACCATTTATTATCAAAAGTGTTATCTTTAAAAGTTTAACCAGTGACTGACAAACTCGTTCTTCTTGTATCAATGGTATCTGTGCCCTTTGTGGTGTAATTTCAAAATAATAACACTTATTAGTCTTTTTCAAATTATTCATTATTTTCTGCATGCATTATTTTACCCATGTGTTGATGGGTAACTTCAATCAACTTCAGTCCTGTGTGATTAAAATATGACAAAATAATCTGTAATTATACCCTAAAGTAAGGTGCTGCTAAATATGAACAGAGTGCATGTGACAGGTGTTATTGTACAAACATAGACACACAATTGTTATTTAACCTGAAAACATACCATTAAGGAATTAAATATTATCTGCAGGGAGAGAGGAGTGATTTATTAAAAAACAACTTATTTTCTTTAATCCTTTATGGATTTATGATTCTAAACAAGCATGATTTGTATTTCTTATTAGACTGCGTCTAATTAGTGCACCAACCACTGGTTCTATATATGTATTTAGTGTAGTCTGCAAATACAAAAATGTGGCACAGACTGATGCTCTGCAGTGAGACTATATCAGACTGTACTGCAGGTTGGGAAAGGCAGTGAAAAGTATATGGCTGAAGTGTTGGGGGACAGCAAGTGAGACATGTTCTCAGCGTCAGAAGATCATCTCACCTCATAGTTGTTCTGCATTACAGCCAAAGTGGACAGAGTGCCAGGGTTTAGAATCTAGAATGAGCCTGCCAGTGCTGAAGGAGCAGGAGGAAATGGTGAGAGGATGCTCCAGTCACAACTGAGAGCAGTACATGAAACGAATCATGAATGAGAGAGGACCAATATACAGTATATCTATGTGACTTGTCAGTCAGTTGGACACTAAATGTTAGAAGATACAGAGAAAGCTTACAATTACTGAACAGGTTAAATACAAAGACTTTAAAAATGATAATAAAATAATAAAATAGCATAATTTCTGTGACTGACTCATCTTAACTGACAAAGTGGAGCCTCCCTTGATGCTAAAGTCACACCTTTGGTACAGTATATGTATGAGAGTTATTCATTTGAAATGAATAATATCTATGAATGACTAATGCAGAAGACAAAAGAGAAAATCACAGTTTCATTTGTACAGAGCAGTTCAGACCCCTAGATATGCATTTACACATCTGGTGTGATTGCACCCTACAAAAACACACACTTATATAACACTGATAGGAGGGAATTACTGTATGTAAGGACCTCTGACCTCAGAGGGGGGTGAGGGAATGTGCCCTTTCTTTATGCAGTATTTTTCTACATCAACAGCTAAGACCAGTAGCTGTCATGGATGAATGACACGATGAGGAAGGATGATGTGGAGGATGCCCTCTGCTGGTGAAACATGAGATGATGACAGGATGCCAGCCAGATGGGAAAGGATCAGGACAGCACACTGGTATTGTGAGAATCCACGTCTTGCATGCTCATGACATCTGTACTTACTCCGCTCTCATACATTGGGTTGTCAAAAGCTGACTCTTCTGTCATGTTGTCATAGGGAGGAGAGGATGTTGGCATTCTGATAGACTTTCCTTGCAATCTAGAGTAAAGAACAGAGAAAAACGAAACATCCTGTAAAAGCTCATTTAGCTGCAAATAAAATATGTTTGAAGGTTATTACTTACTTTGCAAAGTATACATAGATCCCAAGGACAACCACCAAGATTATTGCTGTTGGAATGAAAACTGCAAGGGCAATACTGGTTCCCTCCGTTCCATAATCCCAGTTAACAACTGTAAGGACAATAACACAAAACAGGATTTTTTTTCTCTGTGAAATACACAGTAAAAAAGAATGATCTGTATACAGTACAAATATGTTTTGAAACATAACCTACCATCTAGCCTGCGTTCATTCATATATTGCGCTGACGATGCTACAAAGACATAATTGGAGTTCAGTCAGCATTTGGACCAAACTTGTGTAGTACATGCCACAGAGTTTAAATTACAAAGTCCTTGCATTCACTAACAACCACAAAATCAATCGGCTATAATTGCTATATTTACAATAATTTTACACAGTATCTGACAAATCAGTGCCACATCTCTCTACTGTCCACAGTCATTCTGCTCTTATTTCACATTTTCTGACACAAAGAAAGGGGGAGAATCACACAAAAGAGAAACAACAATAAAGAAACTTTCGTTTTGCCTTCTAGCCTTCTATTTTACATATAGCACACTAATGGTAACATCCTTAAAATTATCAATTTTTTGATATATTTTTGCTGTAATCCTCTATGTAATCCTAACCTATTCTGTCCTTGTTCTAAGTTCAGGAGTTACAGCTACTGTAATACATTTTTTAAGTTATTATTTAGTTTCCTAATCCTATCAGACTATCCTGCTGGATTGCCAAATTTATTTGTTAGCTAAAACTAGCTTCAGACAGAAGGCTGCATTTTGTACAGGTTGTCTAATCCTAACCCAGGCACCCATAGTTTACATTGTCACCAGGAAACAGGACATGACGGGATGGGCAAAGAGCAGTGAGGAGCGCCTTATGGTGTGCTTGTTTTGATTTTCACTATACCCTCTAGTGGCTGAAAATACATTAGGTAGAGAAGCTTTAAATGTTAAATACTGTGATAACATATATTGTTTTCTACAGTGTGTGGGCGTGTTTTACCTTTGCAGGCAGGGGGAGTGCTATTCCACTGTGATGGGTGTCCAGGGATACAATAAATGGTAGCCTCACCCCGCAGCTCGTAGCCTGAGTGGCAGGAGAAGGTGAGCGTCTCTCCTGCTTGGTAAAAGGCTTTTTCAGAACTCTGCACACCAATAGAGGCAGCGCCAGGGTTCCTGCATGGCTCGTACTTCTCAGCTGAGGGGTAGGATAATGTCTCATATCACAAACATATTCTTATGCATCAGCAGGGACACGCACATTAACGCATTATAGCAACAGGCACATTAACACAGACATGAATATTTTGAACTTCATGCCAGTCAACACTGGGACCCAAGAAACGCGTGTGTGCGTGTGTGTGTGTGTGTGTGTGTATGCGACTTACGGGTACACTTGGGCAGTCTTTCACTCCACTTGGGCGTGCCAGTATCTCGACTGTAGCAGGTGAGGAGGCTGCTTCCAGACAGGATGTAACCTTTATTACAGATAAACTGCACCGTCGATCCAATGGTGAAGCGGCTTCCTGTGATCACTTTACGACTGTGTGGCACATTTCCAGGGTCCTGACATGTCATAACTGGACCATCACAAAAACAAATGAAGATAGCAATGGTAGCAGTAAACCAAAACTTTAAGAAAGTAAAAATAATATTCATATAGTTATTATTTTACTTTTCTAGCATGACACATTATGTCAAAGATCTAGTTGATGCCCCACAAAATAATTAAAATTGCTAAATGAACATGTTGACATATTCTAATTACAGGGAGGAAACCAAATGTAAAAATATTGTAGTCACTTATGGAAAAAAGGCATTTTAAGTTCACAAATCACAGATGCAACCACTGCTACGAAAGAAGGTCACAGGCAAAATGCCAAGTAATATTAGACAGCTGAAAGGATGTCTGCATCAACAAAAACAGTCACACACTGACACACATTTATAGGGGTTTGACAACTGCTGCCAATTGGCATCAGAATATTTTCTACTTGTGGATCAATGTTGAATTAGCTGCTTTAAAATAAAACTCTCTTTTCCATACCAGTTGGCTTTGAATATGTTTGTACATTTGGTGTCTTTTCATTAGTTTGCTTCCTTTATGAGTTACACTGCAGTCAGTTATGGGCTATCATTAAAGTTTATCTGCCACGAGATGATTTTGTTTACATTCAGCTGAGATTATGACAGTGTGCATGCTAAACATGCTAAACAGCTGTTCTGAAACTAGTGACCAACAGACTGTAGAAATCTGCATAATGCGTGCACAGAGTAAACTCACTTTTAGAGTGAGAGCTTGATTTTATTGCCTGGTTGGCTCTCGATGCAAGCCAGAGGATTCACAAAGTATATGATGTCTTACTCTCACAGGGAGTTTTTCCTCCCCGCTGTCACCAAGTGCTTGCTCAAGGGGGATTTGTTGGGTTTTCCCTATGTAATAATATTGATAACAGTAAGGTCGGTAAAGTGTCCTGAGATGACTTTTGTTGTGATTTGGCGCTATACAAATAACATTTGATTTGATTTGATTTGACTTGATTTCCCAGTGTGCTCAAATGGAGAAACTGTCTGATTCGGTGTGCGTCCTCTCACCTTCCTCACATCTTGGCACATCACCACTCCAAGTGAGATCCCACTGGCACATGAGGATCTCAGAGCCTACCAGCTCATAGCCAGGGTAGCACTGGTAGGTGATGACGGTACCGTGGATTAGGTCAGGATGGGAAGTGCTCTTCCAACCATTTGCGATCTCCGGCAGCTCGGAACAGGTGTCATTCCTCGGAACCTCTGTTGGTGTTGGGCATGGAGCAATTGGTGTTGCATTATGTTGGTAGGCAGGGTGGGAAATGGGGAATTAATAATGGTGAGCACAGTGAAGAAAGACATTGGTACTGGGAACACTTTTTTTGCATAAACATTACATTTTCATTTGTTGTACAGAATCTAGTTTGTAAAGGGACACGTGTTACTCAAGGAAATCACAGCACTAATATGTAACAACTTCATGTGCAGGGAATGAATATGACTGCACAGTTTTCAGTTCTGTGCACACTAAATAGCAGCAGTTAGAGAGGAAAATGTAAATAGAAGCTTGTGATGTTTGTTGGGAGGAACACAGCATGTAGTTTGGCACCAGTCAATCTGTGCCTCCCTAACTGCAGAATACATGGCCAAGAACATAAAGCACTGGGCAAAACCAGCTGATGTTGAAGTGTGCCCCATTATTGTGCTTCTGTGTTTGTGGTTGTTATCTAATGTTGTGCACCTGGGATAAGCCAGAAGACAGAGGCACAGCAAAACAAAGAGAAAGAGGAACAAATAGACACTTTTTTAGCCTGCAGGGTTCTAGTATGAATAACAGTGTATATTCCATGCTTGTCTTTTTATTTCTTGTCTGTCTTGAAAGGTGATTTTACACTAAAAGAGTATAATACAAAGAGTATAATTCTAAGAAAGAATGTAACTGCAATTCATTGACATTAATCAAGGGGGGAAAATGAAATGTTTTTTTAAAAACCAAGATTTAATCATATTAAACCAGAAAAGAATCATTATCTTACCAAAGAAATGGACTACAAAACCGTTGTTGTAGCCATAAATGTTGGTGGCAGGATCTGACTGAAACTGAATAGTGACATCAGCCATGGATGTGTAGAGCTTGAAGTGCGGCCGTGCGCCGCTGTATTGACCCAGGATGTTGGCTGTGAGGTCATCGCCATCATAGAAGGTCAGCAGGTCATTCTTACCCAAGTGGAGACTGGGATAGATAGAAAACAGCATTTACTGCATATGTCCTCCTAATGATTTGAATGGAGGATTTCATATACAGCTATACCAACTGTCTCATGTCTGTGATTATGTGTGCTGGCTGTGTATTTTGCTCAGAGACTTAACAGTTAAGTGACTCTTTGGCTGATAAAAGCAAAAGCTGACAAATGCTATGTCAGCTGTACTTTGAATATATCAATTCTGTTTATATTGGACAGATAAGATGTGAAGTAAACACTAAATAATTCATGATGTGTCTCTTTGCCTCCCACATTGCTCTCATGAATATGTACTTAAATGTACTAGAAATAAAGGAGGAAGTAAATATCCACTAAGTAGTCCTAACATCTAAATGTTGCCTAGTACTCCATCCTATTAATATAAATTCAACACAATGCAGCCAAGCCACAGTATGACAGAATCTTTACTGTCAGTGATTAACTTAAGAATGCATTAACCTTTTCCATTTTCCATTTTCATATTTCATTGCCCTCTTTATAGAGCATCAGTAAAGCTTGACATTTATTCACATACACACATGGAATGGTGAATTAAAATAATGAGTCAGAGGAGTTGTAGTTCCCTGCTGATATAATAAGCAGGGAAAACTAGTTGCTCTTTATGTGCCTTAAAGTGGGTGTCAAAATAGCTGAGCAAGTTGGCTGCATGATAAACTGTGTTGAAAAGAGCAATGATAATAGCACAGTGCCATCCTTCACACGTGGTGCGAGTAGGACAATGCATTTGGAGCTATGAATCATCCGACTCCTACATAAACTCTGACAATATTTAATGTGCATGATCAAGCAACTGAGCAAATGTACAAGCTATTCTAGTTTTTTGCCAAAATGGTACCAAATTGCATTGCCTGAAAGTCATACTTCTAACTTCTCTGTCAGCTGTAGTTATAATCACACCCTTGTCTCAAATAATCTGTCAGTTTTTTTCATTTATTTACTGAAACTCTTATAACATATCCATTTTGTCAAGTCATATTGAGCTGTGATCCCTTTCCAGACAATGTCTGTAGGTATAACTGGTCAAGTTGAAAAATCTAAATATTTGTCAAATAAATAAACATGGGATCCAAATTTTCTTTTCTCAGATTGAATTTCCTGCAAATGCACTCCTAGTGGGGCACACAGAAAAAGGCAGAGAGCAGCGCATTCAAAGTGCTGATGCAGTCACTGTAGTTCATAGCCAGGAATTACATTCTTAGCAGATATTGGCTTGTTCAGAGATAAAATGAAATACACATAATACACCAGAGATACTACCATATATGGAAACGGGTGACTCAAATCTGTGAGATCACAGGACAGTCAATATTAGCAGAGAGATTTTAAATGTCAGTTATATGAACCAACAAACACACAAATTTAAAACCATGAAAATCATAGTTAAAAGCCCTAAACAGAAAAAGAGGCACATGATGCAAACATTTCAATTCAGCAATATGGCTGCAGAAAATGTGAGAAACATGCAGTGCAAAATTTAAAGGTCATGGATTAGTCACAAAGTCTGAGAGAATAAATATAAATGTAAAATGCAGAGAATCAGTCAGCAAAATTTGCAAAGTCAAAATATTTGGGTGAACATATATCCTATATCCTGTATGAATAGAAATGATAAGGCAACAATAAAATACAATCACACATCCTTACCAGAGTAGTAAAAATAAATCTCACATGCAAATGTTTTAAAGATAATTTGAATAAAGACAAGGGGTCTTATGATGGAAGTCCTAAAGAATGCTTTACCAAGAGCTCTCACCAGTGTTCAAACTGACTGCCTCGTGAACTCGCTGTATCGACTCACCTGTCTGACATGCTAGCCCCCCGTCCTTTTCTCCTCATTAGTCTGACATTCTCAAATTGATCATCAGATCTCACAAGGCTAGACCACTGAACCTGAGATCTAAATACACACAGACTAACTACATTTTTGTAGCTCTGTTAGAACAAATACAGTGGTAGGCATCTGTGATGGGGCCGCTTTATCTCTGAATACCACAGTTTCATGATGAAGGAAGGAAACAAATGACCGCGAGTCTGTTTACATCTCCTCCATCTCTTATTCACAACCTCCCCCCACAGACTTCCCACATTACATCTGAGAGAAATGGGCTGCAGTCAAAATCAGCAAAATGCACCCACTCAGACTAGGAACCCAGACTATCAGCATTAACCATAAGCTTACATAATTAGAGCCACAAGGTATATTTTCACAGACCACAGGTTGAGGCCACACTGTCCCCAAAGGCAAAATTTAAAGGCAACAACACAAATTTTGTCTGTTTGTGCAAAGTGCTAGAGGTAAAATTTGGAAAAAACTGAATTCTAGCTTGTGCCGACAGACACAAATAATAGATGCCAGCTATGTGAATGCGAGATAAATGAGGTGCTGAGTAACAAGGTACTCCCTCTGGTTAGCTGGTGAACTACAGGCACAATTTACACCTCTGTGCTCTCTAACAACCAGCAGCTGATAGAAGTGACAGGAATGACAATGCATATACCTAGTGCCTCTTAAGGATATATTTGTGTTAAAAAAACATGGAAATTATCTGAAAAAACAATGAATGTCCTATTTTATGTCCATGATCAAGACACACCCTGCATACACAGTGAGGTACAGGCAATATTTAGGGATATTTTTAAGAGAAGTATTATCTTGCCTGCAGGTTCAGGGCCCTCTGCAGGATTGGACAGAATCTCATCTTACTCTGTCTGTAAAATAAATGGGGTGTCTCTCAGGAAAGTCGGACAAACCTCACAGCAAACTGCTTACGTCTTCTTTCTGTCTCCACATTTCACACACATACTGCTGATGTCAACAAGGCCATCCACCCTGTCATTACACAGTATTTCATGCACCATGCAGTACAGGTTTTCTCCAGGGTCATGGTGATGCTAAGTAGCGACTCGTTTCTTCTTTTCTTTACTGTAGAATATGGGCATTTCTTTTTTCGTCTTTCACATGGGTCTAGTGCTTAATTTCACTATCTGCTCCACATTGCTGTTATCTTATCAACACCACAATGTTCTTTAGCTCATTTCACTAATCTGGTATGGTGAAAGAGCTCAACGGCACTACTGTTGATTTTCATCCTTTCCTGATAATCGTGTACTACAAACATCTTTTTGCACTTCTTACGTGGGTGAAATCTGCTTGCTGGCTTTGTTTTAATCAGATGTGAAAGCAGCTCAAGCCTGAGCTGTGCCTCTGTGTAATGGAGGGATCTTGGACCTCTCTTGCAAAATATTTTGGCACATTCATCCCTCAAACTTCTGCTACTACTAAACTTTGCTTCTGTCCTTCAGACAAACTTAGATGCACATCTCTGTCTAATATCCACCTTAACATTACACATTACTTTTTCACAACTAACAAAGCCACAATCATACTACTCCTCAAGAATTTTGGTCACGTGCTAGACAAGGTGCAAGGCCAACACTACAATCATAGCTGAAAACACCAGATTTATAGTCCACAACATTAGCAAATTACATGCTTTACTACTTGACACACTGTAACCTCTCCTCCTGTCTGGGTTCTTAAATAGTCTTCCCAGTCACTCCAACTTATCAAGAGTGCTGCAGTCAACCTCGGTTTTATAGTTTCCCATTGGCCCCTTCTATTCACTCCACTGTCTGCTTGAAGTCTATTCAAACCCTGGTGCCAACACAAAACAACGCCAAACAATCAGCAGCTACGCAGCAGTCTGTAGTGAGTCACTACAGTCCACTCAGCTGCCTTCTACTGTATCTAGCAACCTGGCAGTCACTTCACCCAAATGTCAGCCCACCTGGCTGCTTTCTAAATATTTCTCTTCCAGTCATGAAAACTAGTCACACCCGGTCCTGTTTTGTGAACTGAGAAATAATCTTTAAATAAATAAATGTTCTCCCTGTGCCTGCGTGGGTTCTCTCCAGGTACTCCACCTTCCTCCCACCGTCCAAAGACATGCAGGTTAGGTTGATCGGTGACTCTAAATAATCCGTAGGAGTGAGTGTGAGTGTGTGTGGTTGTTTGTCTGCGTGTCCAGGATGGACTCCGCCTCTCGCACAATGTCAGTCTTTTCCTCAAGTTTTAGAGTATCATTAATGTTTACCAGATTACTGTTAGAGTACAGTTTTAACAGCCACAAATGTCACTGTTTAAATGTGAGTCTTAAACAGTTAATAACCAAAAAAGATATCAGAATGGTGACAGTGACTGGCTTGAACCCTTTCAGTTTTTAAATGGAAAAGGAAGCCTATTTTACCAATACTTGGCAATACTTGTTTAGTGTTGTTGCTTTGGATTAAATATCACCTTCACCGACATGGCTGAGGCCTTTGCAGAATTCCAGGGCAGTTTGAAAAAAGGACTTTTAGAGAATTTCTGAAAACTGCTCTGTATGCCAATGACACTGGCTCAGGTCTGCAGATGGGGGGGGGTGACAGCTGTGTTTTATACAAGCCTCTAGACTTTTTGTCACCTTCACTGACAAGTCAAGTCAAGCCTAAAGCACCCAACAAATCTCCAGTAACTCTAACAGAATGGAAATAGCTTTCAGTGTCAAGATTTCAAAAGGCAGCCTCCCTCATCCTCTCATGCACATATGTGACATTTAAATTGTTCTGCTCAGTGAAAAGGTTTCTTTGTTAAAATCCAAATAACCATTTAGTTTCCAGGCACTTACACCTGCAGATGGCATGCCATGCTCACAGTCTCCACAAGAGGGCTCTGTCTGTTCAACCTAAACAGTCTAAAAGTGTCCTGCTCAGTAAACTGATAAAAACATCACTGCCACTATGAAATATACCTTCTCATCATGTAGCATTGAAACACATGTCTCAGTATAGTATAGTCTGAATGCCAAAATCCACATGTTAATTGTTTACCTTGTTGTGTTTCACAGGTGGTGATATCAGCTGTAACCTCTTGTCTCTGGTCCTTGCTCAAGCAATGCTCCATGCTAATTAGCAAAGAGCCAGCCCTCCTGTTTTGCTTAAATTAATTAAACAGCCCTCATTATGCACACTGCTCCTCTTTAATTGCCAGCACAGGCACGGTGATGAATAATAATACAGAAAACATTCTAATTAATGTGGAAACATGTCTCCCCACCTTTATAATGAGACAGCTTTCATTCACAAGAAGATTTTGTCACTTCAACATGCATAACGTGCACACAAATAAACACACATAATCTACATGATGACCAAACCTTTAGGAATGCTGTTCTCAAGCTGTGCAGACCAGACTTGAGGTTAATGAAGAGTCTGCAGTGATCAGAGAGGCTGTGGCTTTTTACTGCCATGAAGGCCGTGCACGCTCAACACTGAGATAAACTAGGACATTTACTTCTGCATGGAAAAAATGTGCAGATTTTTTAAACACTAGGTGCACTGGCTGACTCTCAACATCAAGCATTAGTCATTGAGTCTTACAACAACAAGACAACAAAAAGAACTACAACAAAAGAACAGCGAGGGAGGTAAACGCAAACCCCAGTGTGGTATTCAGTCACTGTGTATTATTGATACCCTCCGTGGAAAATATTTTAGTGATGGGTTATATATCGGCAGAAGTGGAAAGTGACTAAGTACATTCGAAGTATCTGTACTTTACCAGAGTGTTTTCATTTTTTGCTACTTCATACCTTGACTTTGTTACATTTCAGAGACAAATGTTCTGCTTTTTACTCCACTATATTTATTTGATAACTTTAGTTACAATTAACTTTTACCTTGAGTAATATTTTGAATCCAGGACTTTCATTTGTATCAGAGTATTATTACACTGAAGGCTACTTTTATTTGAGTAAACAATTTGAGTACTTCTTCCACTACTGTATATTGGTGCATGTAAGCCAGAGATATACGGTTTGGGGCACTGCATGTATTGTGGCCATACAATGGGCAACAAATCTGAGCCACCACAGAAACCATCCACACTTCCACCAAACCCTCTACTGACTCTATGCTGCAGTTTGTTTTTAATTTGTAGAATGAATTCAGCAATATCTAAAAAATATGTTGTCTAATCTAATGTGATTCCAATGTACAGTATACAGTAAGATGAAATTAATTTAGATAACTTTTGGTGCAATTTCAAACACAATAACGGTTGTGGCTACCTACCCTCTCAGTCTGATCACAGGGGCGGTGCATGTTCTGCCCAAAGATGTGCACAGCAAATAGCTCAACAACAGATTTCCCTGCAGGAACTCTTGTCTACATATGCCCATTAGTTTATTAGTTTTTTAAAATAAGCATTGTTTATTCACTTATCCCTAGTCATTTTTCAGTTTAAAAGCCTGAATATTTCTGTTTTTCGCTTTCACATATGCTGAGGTGTAAAGGGACATGCCAACCATTTGGTAGAAGCTCAATTAAAAAAAACTGATCAGTTAAAGAAAAAAATGTGTTTTTCCCTCGTGAGTGCCCAAAGGAACTAGGAAATGCCAAAAATAAAAATGGCTTTTCAGTGTCTCCTACCGTGGATTGCGATTTGTCTGCAGAGCATCCAAATCTCATGTTATAAGTAAACCTTCATCAGACTGTTCAGAAATATATATTTGTTCATAAGGCAAGAATGAATGAATATGGAAATCCAAGCATAAAAACTGAGGGGAGGAAATGCTAGCATGCCTAAATGACCACTGTGACCAATAGTTAACAATAGCCTCGGACTGAGATTAGTCAGTGGCTGTTTTTCTACAACCTCAGGCGGTGCTCCCGCTGGTTTAATTTTAACCTCTCTATGCCCTCCTGTGTGCAAGTGCTTCAGGCAATAACACAAATCATTTATCTTGTAGTTTTTTGTGCTCTCTATAGGATGCATGTTCTTTGAAATATTGTGGGAATCATGTAGGGCAAACAGATTTATCCATATATAATAGGCAAACAGAGATGCAGTCTCTTGTGCACACATTTAAATAGTTTTGCTTTTTAAAGAAATATTCAATGTACCATGAATAAACAAGGCAGTGATTTACACTAACAATAACAGCAAAAACAGAGGTGTGCTGCATGTGCGTGTATGTGTGCATGGTGGAGGGGACATCCATTTACAGTGAGAGTGATGGGTTAAAGAGAAATTCAGTGTCTCTATATTTGCGTGTGCATGCGTATATTTTGATATCTGTGTGCAGGTGTGTTGAGTGTGTTCATGTGTGTGCGTTGTATTACATTTGGGAGTGGCTGATAAGTGGCTCAGAGTAGTTCACTGCCAGAGCGTATTCATTTCAAAGCCAACTCTGAGACACACACCAGGGAAGTGGGAGCAGAGAAGCTTACTGGCTAATCTGGTCAGAGAGCGAGCTGGAAGCTACACAGAATTCTTAATGTAGCGGATGGAAAAAAATCTAATTAGTGACTGCAACCACTGAAACACTTCCCCAAGTGCATGTCTTATTGTGTCTGTGAGTGAGAGGATAGATGAGAAAGAAACTGATAGCGCTTATGTGTTTGTGTCAGGAGATGGGAGTGTTAAACAGCCTGATGTCAACCTAACGTCCTCTCTGACCCCCCTATGTGATTTCTAGTGTTAAACTTGAATGCATTCTCTTACACTTGGATGTCAAGCATGATCCTTTTGTCCTCTTCCACATGAACACCCCAGATGCAGTCCTGGCCCTTGTCATAGGCCTCAGGCCAGTTAGGAGACAACACCACCCCAGCAGAGTCTGTGATCTCCCCGCTGCACACAGCTGCAACACACAAACACCTCAGGTTGACACCGAGTAATCTATATCTATATGTATTGTAACAGATGCCAAGTATAATAATGAAAACAAAATGAGTTTAACATGTAAATGAAGGCAGAGTAAATATCCTGCCATGTGTAATACACAGGTAACTCGGTGAAAAGAAACTAAAAATATGTATTGATACACAACTGACTACATAGGATGAGACCATGTTTAATATTAAATAAAACACAGCTGAAATCGAATGTGCAGGCTCCTTGACATGAATCTTGTAAAACTGCACACTACCACTGAACAGCTTGGTGACCATGACCCACAGGAGCAGAAACTTAATTTTCTCATATCTAGCATTACTGGAGAGCTTTTTAGAAAGCAATTTCACCGTGTGGCAGAATGACCATCTAGGCATCAAAGACTGTGAGTAAGGTCAGTGTTTGGTGTGTGGGAAGAGACTGTGCACTGTGGCAGTCTTAATCCTAGGCCAGCTGTTGTATGCTTTTAATTTTAAGCACTTCTAAAGTTTGCCTTTGTCATATTTCATACCTACCTACCCTACCCAACCTCGTTTTAGTTCTTGTCTGTTTCTCTACTACAATTGTCCCAAAAAATGCTAAAGTTTTAAGAGGAAATTATTCATGGATCAGATTAAAGCATTTTTAGGAAGATATAGTTAACTGCCGATGTATTTAACATTTGAATAAAAAGACTTCACTAACTCTAGCACTGATTTGGTTGATGATGAAAGGGTCTTTGGGTCTTTAGGTCACTCATATCTGGGTCTAAGTTCTTCTCCAGTGGAAGGACATTTTTTTAAAGATTTAATATCACGCAGGGGAAATGTGTTGACTTACCCCTACAGGCTGGCTCGGTCTCATTCCACTGTGGGTTTTGTGTGTCCACGCATTCAATCACTACGGAGCCTTGCTCTAGCGTATAGCCAGGGTCACATGAGAATTCAACTACTGCACCCACACTGTAGGTAGAATCGCTGCTGCTGAAGTTGCCGTACTTCACAAAGGGCTCGTAGCACATTCCTTTTGCAAAAGCTGTGGAGGCAAAGGGTGCATTGCATTAAACATAAGTGAGAAGTATATTGTTGTATGTTAGCAAACCCTGCAGTATTCATGATGAGCCTGCCTTCATATCTGATGGCTGCACCGGTGGAAGTCATTGTCCCATCTGTGGTGAACTCTATAAACAGGTAACGTCCAGTACTGAGCACACCCTCATTGGGCAAATACTCTACCTCATAGGAGTCATACACTGGGGGAGAGTCTATATTGTTCCCATTCTTAATCAGCAGCCTAAAAAAATACACACACACACACAGAGTGAGAGAGAGAGAAGGAAAATGTATTAAAAGAGACCTAAATGAGTCTGGAAAGGTAAAAGAAGGTACAAGCTATCTGAGAGCTGCTCATTGTTCCAAAGGTGGCTGTAATAACTTTGTGATAACATTCTCCACCATTTGGTAATGAGGTGAATGGCCATGTGTGACGATAGCTGTGTGACTCAGTTAAGAAAAATGTAATGCATTTGTGGTTTCCTACCTCTCACTACCTTCTGTAGTCCCTTCAATTCATTCGCTTGATAGAACACTGTTAAGGGATTATAATGATAAAAGGTCCTTTCAGATTCATCTGTCACTCCCCCAAGATTGTGGTTATTTATAGCCTTTGAGGGTTTTAAAGCTGCATTAACTGAGATTTAGCACAAACTCAGATAAATCAAGTAAAAATTGTCTAGAAGTGTTTTTGCCCTGCTGTACTAACCCACCCCCCACCCCACCCCACTCTGCTATCATCAGGCCTTGTGTTTATTTCTTTCCCTCTGGGGCCACTGTTGTTAAAATCCACACCACACTTCTTCTACGTCCCCAATGATCCGGGGTTATAAGATACAATTTTCAAACCACTAAGACTCATTTCAAAGATGGACTGTGGAGGCTCCCTGTACTGGTACAACCCAGGATGGGAACCGACCTGTTGGATCCAAGAGGTCATGTTCGAGTGTGACAAAGAAAGGCAAACCAGAGTTAACAATGGTTTGGCATGTCGGAGATGGAGAGCATTAAAATCCTCCAAAGGACTAAAATTTGGTGCAGCTGTGTTTCTTCCTTTTAGATAAGTAATAAGTAGCCAACTAACTTGTATATGTCAGCACTGTTTGCATCTCAATATTGTAGCTTTATACTGAATTATTCTGGTTGTAATTTGGAGTCGTTCCAAAGTTAGTGTTGTCCAGTTAGCAGAAACCAGTGCATTTTCTCAGATTAGCAAATGAAGAAATTTTGCTCCGTTTGCAAATCTTTGATCGGTTTTGGTCCAGACCATGTAGTTCATTTATGTCGGACATAACACAGCAGTCCATGTAGCATTTTAGTAAGAAGCTGTTCAAATTTACAGCATCAACACAACTAAAAAAGTAGGGAGTTTGTTCAACTAAGCGTAATGTTATTTCTCTTGGTTCACATATAACTCACGGTTACCTTGCAATGTTATGTTTATCAATTATGTAAAATTGAATGTGATGTGATAATACTGTATCAATATAACAAGGAAAATATATTCCTCTGTATAATTTGCTTGTGTTACTACTTTAGGCATGAAAAAGGGCCCATGTCACTGCAATGCCACCAAAATCCACTGGCTCTATAGGCTCTATATTCCATACACATTAGTCCTGGAGCCACTTATTACTGCTGAGCTACATGTCTGCCGAGTCTCTCTCCGGCTGTAGTGATCACTGGGGCAAAGAGCAGCGGAGGGAGAAGAGGAGGGGATACTGGTTGAGTTTGTTTTGATTCTCACTCACTCTTTAACGGTCAAAAGTTAGAGGGTGGAAGTTAGTTAGAGCTACTTAAATGTTCTAGCTGCAGGCACAGTTATTCAGAAAATGAGTTTTGAAGTCCCAGTGCCAGCTATTAGTTGAAGATACACACACAAATTGCAGTCACACCCTTTCTCTGCATTTTTTTTTCAATTTGATTTTAGCAGTGTGTATACACCACCTGTCATCGTCCTCTGCCAAAGCCACCTTCTCAAAGTGAATATGAATCTGGTGGCCTTCAGGGGCCTCCAGGACCCAGTGGCATGTCAGATTGTTGCTGTAGTTGCCAGGGAAACCAGGAGAGACAATTCGACCGGAGGTGGCATTTTTTATCATCCCCCCACAGGATGCTACATGAGAAGAAAGAGAGTGAGAGCAAGAAGACAAAGAGTTGGAGGGTAGGTCTAGTTGGGAAAAGTAATGACAACAACTCTGGTAGGGGTTTTGGAGAAAAGTCCCTGTCTGAGCATAGATTGCATCAATATCCAGTGGACTGTGGCTGGGCTACAATTGGTAGCTCACCTGGGTCTAAAAGTATGTGACTGTGTGTGTGATGGACTTGAAAAGAGAACAGCAAAACAGCAGCACTAACACTATCAGTTCAGAGCAGCTGCAGGCAGGCATGGAGAAAGGCTGGGACTGGGAGATGAGCCTCTACCAGCAGGAGAAGAATGGTTATGTAGACCATAATTAAGGCAGCCAGGTCCAATGGCCTTGTTTTGCCCCAGCTCCAAACAATAACTCCACGTGCTGCTAATCACATGCAAACACACTCATTTGGCCTTGGAGTGTAAGTAATCAGCTCAGTCAGAGGCAGTCTGGTGAAAGCTTTCATTACTCAAAATCAGTTGAATTTCAGAGGAAGGCTGAAGAGCAAACAGCTCTGCAAATTTTAGGATGCTAAAAAGTTGCACATCTTAATTTTTAGGGTTTTAAATTTGGTCAATATCAGTTTAACAAAGTTTCTTGCAATATATTTGGACAATTTAATTGCAATGTAAGTTTGCTTTACAAGTCTGCCAGTCAGTGTTAACTATTACAAGTTAGCAGAGAAAAAATAAAAAGACTTAAAAAAATTTCAACAGGTATCAGAATCTGTTGTATTGGCCAGGTGTGTCGGACAAACGAGGAATCTGACTCTGGTACATCGGCTCCCAATGTGTATGTACACATGTATGTTTTGTTGCAGTGTATCAGGGGGCAGCCTCATTGCCCTGAACTACTCCTGGTGTTAAGGAGCTAACGTGTCTTGCGAGGAACCAGTATTTCTTACCTACACATCTGGGCTCCTTTCCACTCCAGTAAGGTGTGGTGGCATTACGACAGGTGAGCATATTTGGGCCTTGCAACTTGTAGCCAGTGAAACAACTGAAGTAAGCTTCTCCCCCAGCATGAAGGTGCGTCACAGAAACCTCTCCACCAGCAGGCTCTTTGGGGAATGTACAGCTCAGCACAAAGGCTAGGGAGGAAACAAAAAAGAAACGGAGAGAGAGAGAGAGCGATGAAGCCAGTTCAATCAGTCGAGTAAAAGTCAGTGAAAAAATATTTATTTCATGTGATATTTTGGGCATTTGTGTGGGCTGTAAAACCCAAAATCATATGAAACTGAAATGCATTACAGTATTTGATAGGCAATGAATATTCAATGACTTACCAGAGAGGAGGACTGCTAATGTGTGCTAATGTTTCACTTATCAACGTGATGTCTATTAAAGAGAGTTGTCTGTCCACAAGATGCCACAGTTTAAAATCATCCCGCAATTTAAAAATGACCACATTAATTTTATAATGCAATTCAGTTAAATCCAAACAGTTCATTTGCTAATTATTAGCCCTCTAATGAAAGTACAAATAATAACATGTAGACTACGTTTTTATAATGAAATACTTTGCAAAGAGACCAGTAAGTTCTCACTTCATTTGTAACACAATTTTAAATTTTAATTCACGGTCCTGAAGCCTGGGGAAGATTTCCAATGTAAAATGTAAGAACTACTGCAATCCATTATTTGCTCAATGTTTCATTCTGAACCAAAGTCCAATTCTGGCCAAAACAAGCAGCCAACAATGTTAACCAACTCCACAACATAATCCTCTGTATAACTCCAGCTGTTTTGTTGTATTACTGACCATGTTGTCACTCCTCCAAACCACCGCCGAGCGCCCCATGCACATTTTGATGTAAAAGGGGAAAACACAAACAGGTTTTTTATTCTTTCCATTTTTTTGTGAAAATAAATTGGGCACAATATTTCAACTCTCTCTTGCTCTGCCCTCCTGTTTCTCACATACACACACAATTAAGGATGCTTTTCAACTTTGTTTATAAACACTCCAGCTCTTAATTAATTGCAGTTTACCAGTACACGCATTATGCAAATGTACAGAGACATGTTTGCAGCACAACAATAATTAACATCACTGTGTGGTTCTGTGTAGAGCCACTGCAAATACTTTGACAAATGGAAATGCTGCTGATCAGCTGAACATCTTAGTGGGTCTGTAATGTGATATCTAGAAGAGGAATTGCCTCTGCAGTGGTTGTCAAACAGTGGTGTTTCCAGCAGGGTAAGATCAATGTTCCTCGACTTGCTTTGCATTGTTGTCTTGTCCCTGTTTTCAAACAAATGGTGTAGGATGGAATGGAGCTCATATGGATAATGGAGTAAGCTAACCAAGTCTGTAATGCAAGCTATTAAACAACCTTCTCCTCATGTCTAATAACCATACTGTTCTACCTCATTAGTGTAGGCACTTTAATGACCAGACTAAAACTTCTAAACTTCTCAAAATGTGTGAACAATGGAACAAGTAACATAATTGGACCCACTATGGCTTGTGTTGCAATAACAGCGTGATTGTTCAGCACCAGAATAACAGAAACATTTTAAAGGCTGCAGCATTACTCCAGCTTTACAAGTCACACATCATGTTTCAGCTTAATGAAGTGTATTCAAAGCCTTAATAAGAGGTAATAGAAGGAAAAACCAGTGATGAAGAGGGTAGCTGGAAGACCTGCTTGTGTTAAAACCATATTTGCCGTCTTAAAAAACAATTATGATAATAACTGGGCACAGGCTACGTAGTGTAAACTCCTCAATCTACTTATGTTAATATAATTAAGGTTATATGCTGTTTACAGAACTAAAATATAGGCTACTGCAGTTTTCAGCTCCATAATTGTGAGCCTATCTACAAAAAACTTGTTTCTATTCTATTCATCATCTGTCACTGTTACACAGTATGCAGTTTTCAGTGAAGAAGAAATGGTAGCATCTTATTTAAACTCAATATTTTCTATAAAAATGTGATATCACAGCACAGTAGGGATTATTTTAGGTGGTTTATAACATGTCTGACCCAATTTTGTCTCGAGAAAAACCTTTCTTTCTGACACCATACTTTTAGACCTGGAGCTGCAGCCACACATAAAAAGGACCAATGTGATTTTCCGTAGACAGGCTGGTTGGTTCATACATGTAAATACTTTAATTAATTCAAATTTGGAGGTCTTGACACGCACAGTTGTTCAGGAAATGGAGGTCAAATAAAAAATATTAGGCACTCCGCAGCAGGCTGGATTTGAAGTACTTTCATTCCAGCAAGTCAAATGTAGATGAAAAACGGCACTTTAGTGATGTTTTTAGCTTTACAGTACCTTGACGATAAATTGGATATTCATAAAAATTAAATGTCATTCTGTGAACCTCTGAACTTGAACCCAGGGGAAAAAGCCCTAAATGCATAATGGCCATAAAGTCTTATGAAAGTGTCCCCATCTACTATGTTTTAATCTACTGACTTACTGTAGGTTTTTCTTTTATACATGCCAGTGGTTTCCACCATAATGAGACGGGCCTTTCGTTTGCAGTAAATCAGTGAGCCACAGGGACGAGGTACACTGCCCCTGGGTCATCCATTCAATTCCTAGTTTATCACTAGCTCCAATGAACCTAGTTATTGCCATTATCATAGCAGCATTTACATCCCTATTGAGCATGCAGCGGGAGAGCTAGAGGCAAAAATTGTAGAGCCAATTCCTGAAGTATTAAATTACGTGCTGCCTCCATTCCAGTAGATGTGGTGCTGGGCCATAAAGTCTGATTGTTTTGCCATTACAAATAATAGATCCACGGTGCAGGCAGCCAGGAAGATTAGCTGATGGTACTGTAGGGCCACAGGAAACAGATGTGGAGCTTATGTCTTTAGTTATTGTCTCCTTGTAGAGGAGAGGAAATAGTCATATTGTGTAAACCTTCAATTTCACAAAAAGGAATATGGACTAGCATTTCAGCTCAAATGTCAGCTTTTGCAGAAAGAGAAAACGTGTACTCAAAACATGTCAAACATTTACCTTGCTACTAATAAGCCAGTAATGATTGTGAATGCTATAATGGTGATGCAATGCAACATCCCACTGTTCCTCTATTCCTCTCATTAAAAATGAACCTTTTAGGTGAAGGAGGGGATCACCGGTCAAAACAATGAGACATTATATTACTGAAATAAATGATGAAATATCTCTGCTGTAGTAACATAATGTTACTTTCATTTAATTACATGATTTTAAAGGTGTCCTTTAAAAGATTGGAAGGAAACTAGCCTTGGGGATTTAAATGGCACGGTTTTAAAGTTAGAAAGTTGTTTATACATATAGACAATGTAGCTTGTCATAACCAATATATACGCTTAACCAATCTGGGTATGGCCTAAATGTTTTTTTACACTTTATTTTTGTGATTTCTCAGTAGCCTACTTGTTAACAGACTTTCAGGATGAACACATCCTGCCTAACTTTTCTTCTTCTTCTCACTTTCTCTTATCTGTGCACTAGCAATTGATTTGTCTCACACTTTATTATTTCTGTTTATATTGCTTCCCCTGCACTTTCCCACCTATCTGAAATTCAAATGTTGTGTGTGTGTGTTATGCAACCATAAATCTGTATTTTGGATTCAGTAATAGATTTTTAAGCCCTCTGTCAAAAGTCTGTAAGATCAAATTTGGGATATTATTTAAAGAAAGTCAGCATTTCCTGAAAGGGTACTTGGTGCAACTCCTGCATTCATTCACACATTGGTAACGTTAATGAGCTTTATTATGCTATATGCACATTTTTCATTTGCCTGGGTACTTCAAATTGAGAATGCTGTTCAATAATGGATAAATATTGTTGACTAGGGCACAATAGATGAGGTGAGCAAGTCAGGAATAGCAAGTTATCCACCATATTTGGACAAACAACTAAAATGGATGGTAATTTAGGTCTAATAAACTGTTGCACTGTTGTATTTCAAGTGTTGTCTGAATACTCTCTGGTAGAGAGCTGGAATGGAATCAAACCTGGCAATGTGAGGGCAGGAGATAATGAAATTGGGTGGCAAGAAACAGAACACACATAATGAAAACCCGGTTTGATTGTCATTATAATATTTAATAAGAGGAGGAATATTCATGTGCTGATAGTCATATCTGTTTAGCTGTTGTTTTGATGTACTGATATGACAGCGGTCCTACAATTACCAGGTGACTTGTGGGAGAGGGTGACACTGAATCCAAGCCTCACGTCCTGGCCGTTCTCCAAAGCATTACCTTTTACACAAAGATCAATACTGTTGTCTCTGAGAAAGTGATTCAGTTGTAGAGAGCCAGACCAATGTTCTGCCATGGTATGGCCTATTGATATTTATGTGGGTGGGTTAAAAACTCGATTTTAATGGCCATTTACTCAATAAAGTCTATTAAAGAGAAATAACTTTGGACTAGAGGCGGCATCTTATCAATGCAACTGAAGCTGTGGCAAATGGTGGATCACCGCCAGTGGCGGAGGTCCTGTGGCCACCTCACTTGTTAAACCAGCTCATTAGTCACAGCAAATCAATAATCTCTGTAAAACATCACTGCCATTAGCAATGCAATTGTTTAGGCTCTATATGCTTCATGAACTTCTGAACTGGCAGTTGAAGCTAACTTAAGAGATCAGATATGATGATTATTGTCAACTGAATAAAACGAGGCTGTAGCTAAATTCCACCATAATATATGTTCATTTTAAAATGAAGCACCTTCTAATTGGGAGTATAATGGGTTTTACACTGTGCACACATGCATGCGCAAAGTTAGTTTTAATTATTAGTATTCACATTCCTCATGCATTCAAATGATTTTCCTTTTGAAATAAACGATAGCATTCCTTGACTGTTCTGTAGGATTTACTGGACTAGTTTACTGGACTTGTTTTGTTTGTTTTCTTTTTGATAAATGTGTTATTTCACCAGTAAAGAATACTGACTGTGTACATATACAGTAAGGTTGTTTACACTCCAGATGCACTAAAGCATGTTGCTGTTTGTTGAATGCACATACTGTATGTAAATAAGTTGTAGCTGCAGTGGCTGTCTCAGGACATTATTGGTGGAGACATTAATACTCTGTTCTTATGTGTGCATAAGGATGCAC